AAATGTTTAATGTCTAAAAAAAAAAAAAACCACTAAACTAATTGAGTTTCTTCTTTCCTGGTTTTTGAAGCTTAGCCATCTTGACACCATTTCTTGTAAGAATCATTGAAAAACCCTTTGAGTTATTCAGCTAGAAAGAGAACAAGTTAAAATGGTTTTGTGTCAGCCCCACTGTCTTCCCCACTGAACAATGGTGAGAGGAAAAAGATCATTCAGGCCTTCAATAATCGTACCAACATTCATACTCTGGCTTCCATCTTCATTCAAGGAGCATCAAGAGAATGGTGAATATGTTTTAAAAAGAGGGAACAGTAGAAAGGAAAACTGGATCAGGAGGTCACAACAGGAAGAGGGATCATCATTTCAACTTAGAGCTAAATACATTCTTATTGTTCAAAGTAGAGTTCAATAGTATTATAAAAACCTCGCAGAATTCCAGTAAGATATCTTTAATCATTTCCAAGATACAATGGTTCAAATCTTAATCTAGCAATTGGAGAACTTTGGTGTTATACCATTTGGACAATTTTCCTGTTACACTCGGCATATATGTATGCGTGTTTGTGTGTGTGTATGTATGTATGTATGTATGAAACTATAGATAGATAGACAGACAGACAGTTAATCTATGAATTAGCTGACATAGATAGATAGATAGATAGATAGATAGATAGATAGATAGATAGATGAAATGTATGTGACTTAGTCCATTTCATTGTATATTGTCATTGTTTACGTTAAGATGTGTTTCATGAGCAGATATGATCGATCGAGAAAAACCTCCGGAGATTGTTTACAAACATTAATTTGGATTTTGGTAACCAGACGCTTCTCCATAGCTAAATGGTATCGCACGTCAGATCAAATGACGGTTAAGTGTAGAACAGAGGTTTGATTCCTGTTGGAGAAGGCGTATTTTCTACGACATTTTTCGAACATTAAATGTAATCAATACTGTTCGATTAAAAAAAAAACAGAGCATTTACTTCAATAAACTGTATATATTAAAAAATGTATAAAGAGAAAATATACTAAATAATTCTCTGACTTTTCATTGTACAGATAGATAGATAGATAGATAGATAGATAGATATGAACAAATTGAAATAGATATGTACAGACTGAAGATAGATAGATAGATAGATAGATAGATAGATAGATAGATAGATAGATAGACTATGACCAAATTGAGATCGATATGAAGACTGAAGATAGATAGATAGATAGATAGATAGATAGATAGATAGATATGAACAAATTGAAGCAGGTATGTACAGACTGAAGATAGATAGATAGATAGATAGATAGATAGATAGATAGATAGATAGATAGATATGAACAAATTGAAATAGATATGTACAGACTGAGGATAGATAGATAGATAGATAGACTATGACCAAATTGAGATCGATATGAACAGACTGAAGATAGATAGATAGATAGATAGATAGATAGATAGATAGATAGATATGAACAAACTGAAACAGATATGTACAGACTGAGAATAGATAGATAGATAGATAGATAGATAGATAGATAGATAGATAGATAGAAATGATCAAATTGAAACAGATCTGTACAGACTGAGGATAGATATGAACAAAATGAGATAGGTATAAACAGACTGAGGATAGATAGATAGATAGATAGATAGATAGATAGATAGATAGATAGATAGATGCAAACGCTGTGATCCATAAATACACATATTTAAGTAAGATACATAAATAAATAGACATGTATATAAGCACAGACGCAATACTCATTGTTAAATCTCTACGTGAAAATAACTTTAAGGCCCAGCTAGGCTCCAACCTTTCAGCCCTGATTAATGAGATACAAGTTGGTAGTAAACATCAACAACAACAACACATACAATACGAGTAACAACTATTTCTTTACACCCAACAACAACAATTATCTCGTAAATAACATACCCTTGGCATCGTTTCGTTAGTTTTTATTTTTAAAGTGAACGCGCCAACTGACCTCTCACTATTTAATATTTACCTACTAAATATTTTAATATTACCTACTAAATATTTTTGTCTATATTTCTGAGATGAGGTGTTATGTACATTATTTACATTATTCGGACTATTGTCCTCATCTTTTTCGCCATATCTATCACAACGTTTCGGCCGTTGTACGCTCCGACCTTCTACAGGTGATTGGAATGTCGAACTGAACCCTTTATTTCACTCACTGGGGTAGACTGTTCTAATCCCACGTGCCATGTTTGATGGATGTCAGTTATCAGTTATCTCCTGTTGATTTCCCTCTGAAAGTTCTCTACTGCCTTAACCGGGTATTCGACTTTCCAACCACCTGAAGAAGGCCGGAGCGTACAACGTTGTGATAGATATGGCGAAAAAGATGAGGACAATAGTCCGAATAATGTAAATAATGTAAATATTTTGGACTTGTTATGATTGTTGTTGTACTTTTAATGTGAAATGCTTTTTTTCATAATATATTATAGAAGATGGAGTCCATATTTCCAAATTTATATTTATCACTGTTGTGTCGGAAACCTACCACCCCTCTTGAAGATGAACTTGTCTGCGTCTGTGAACAAAGACTTTAAATAGTGGCATGTCAGTTGACATGGAGAAGACAGATAGACCGAGAGGGTAAGACCTCCGAGTCTAGCTGAGTCGTGATACAGTCTTTGACTGTAAGCGACGTCTGTCGAACTCTCTGCGTTAGCAGAGAGGAACCCGGACGAAGCTTTGCCGAAGGGCAAGGTTTCGTCCGGGGAGGTAGACAGGGTCTGAACCCGTCTAGGCGGGTTCAAAAAGGCTATATTTTTGGCCGAGCCTACGGGCTCGGAGATACCCACATTAAACCGGCCCTGTGCCCCATTCAATCCTCGTGGGTGGATCGATAAATACTAAGACAGATAGAGCAGTTCTTAGCTGAGCTAGTTATTGACTACTCAGGCGATTTCTGTACCTTTTTACCAACCTATTAAAACCCTTTTTATTGTTACGTGTTATTTGGCGTTTGTCCCTACTAACCCCAAATCAACATCATAACAATCACTCAGTTGTTACAGCAAACAGATAACATTTCTTTCCGTTTTTACATCAATGCTTATTATAAAATATTAGTTTGGTTGATTTTACAAGATCTCAGAATTTCTTCGATTATTTAATTCCAAAATCAGACGTTTTAAAAATCAATTTAAATCAATTTAAATTGCAAATAGATAAATATTAGTCATTTATTTTTATTTTTTTAATTGGTGTCATCCCAAGCAAGGCAGTACAGCCACTAAAACGCAAAGGGTGACAGGGTGTGGGGGAATTAGTAACAGAAACATTGTAACGAGTAGAAAAAGAAAAGAGTAATCAGGAGGAGAGTAGTTAATGATTGACATTGAATTTAAATTGTTGCAGATTAAATTTGGCTGGAAAGCATATAACCAGAGGTGAGTTCCACAGGCGAGAAATGCGAGAAAAGAAAGTGTTAACATAAAAGATACGGCTACATCTACCTAGTTGAACTTTAAATTGATGCGATCTCGCCGCCAGTCCATTTTTGCGCTTAAATCCATGCAGTCTAGGTACCATAACGAACCTACCCCACTGTACCTGTAACGGCATTCACCCGGGGTGGGTTGAGCCGGCTCCAATGTTGGCGTTTCATGGGAATTTGGAATTCACAAGCGGTCCCCAAACCCGCATGTATAGCACATGAGATTTGATTATAGCGGTGATGTTTCGTGCAGGACCATCCACACTTTTTGAAGGGCCGATTACAGAGACCTGATGCACTACGTGCCACAAGGTCCCCAAACGACCCTCCACAGGTTTTGAATTCAGAGTTTTCCTTCTCCTAGACCAGTTGCCATCCAAGGCTATAGAACCCAGTTTGTCCTGCTATTTAACCCATAGGGAGAAGAGGATTCACACCTTTCCCAAGTGAATGTAATGGATTCGACTGGAATTCGAACTCGGCTCTCCGATTCCTCAATCCAAGCCGTTATCCATTACTCCACCGTGCCTCCTACCAAAGCGAAGAACTCATCCGAAATGATAGCATGAAAATATTTATAAAAATGCCACAGTGAGGCAACCTTACGGTGGTGGGAAAGTGACTGAACACCAAACAGATTGGCAGCAATAATAGAAAAGCCGTCTCACACGACAGAGTGAACTGACTTTCCTAACAGCAGATATATCAATAGATTCAATATAGGCTTTCTACTTCATATCAGCTGAGAACGTTAGCACGAGAAGGCGCAATAAGTCACTTTCCTGGAGGATAACATCAGTCATGCTGATGGAAGGGAGAGAGTAGTCTATCAGATGACTAATGGCGAGAAGGTTAGTTTTGGAGACGTTAAAATTGACATCTTTTGCCCCAATTAACGGGAGTCTTGAGATCGTTTTTTTTAACCTTGTCGAAATGTTCAGCCTTACTATCGAGGGAGGAATAAATGGTAGTGTCGTCAGCGTAGATGCCTAGTTGGAAGCTTATGTCATCTGGAAGGTTTTTAATGAAGATTAAGAACAGCGTAGGAGCCAGGATGGAGCCATGGGGGACACCCACGTTAGTATGAAAGGATGTAGACGAGTGGCCGTTCAGGAACGAATAGATCAGCTCAAAAATGTACCCGGAGATACCGTATTTTTTCATCTTGTTGAGAAGACCTGAATAGCAAACCCTGTCAAAGGCTTTCGAGATGTCAAGTGTTACAGCCCGGGCTTTACCGTTTTTAACTAGAGTATAATCGCCCCTTTCTGAAATTATCGTTAGTACAACAGCATTTGACCTGGAAAAACAAAAAAAAACGTGTTGCTTGTCTGAGAAAAGGCCCTCTGATGAGAGATTACGAACCAATTCAGCATTGATTAGGGCCCCTGGGAATTTCCCCAAAAGAGGTAGAAACCTAATCAGCTGATAGTTTAGATTGGCTGGACGGTTCATCGGAGACCTTAAAAACTAGAACAACAATGATTTACTGCAAACAGGAAAGCAAGTGGCAGTGAGACATTTATTATACAGTTTAGAGAGAACAGGAGCCAGATCGGGACTAGTACAGGGATACAATTAGGTCCCCATGCTTTGTGGAGATCAACGTTATAGATGGCAGCAGAGACCATGGAAGGGACTATATGCCTATCACTCAACAGAGAATCAGTTCTAAGAGGGAAGTTAGGCAGAGATACTCCAGGTTAGTCAAGAGTAGGGTTTGAGGATAATTTATGAGTAAAGCATTCAGCTTTATCAGCAATGCACCTCAAATCGACTGAAGCGTGGGATAGAGAACTTGCACTTATTTAGTACCCTATTACAGAGACCCCAGTAATCACGAGACCCGAAGGCTACGCAGTACTTCATTCTCAGCAAACGAGAACTTGCTCCTTCTTGGACACGTTTACATTTGTTACAAGCAGTAGCAAATAGGCACCTGTTATGACGGGAGCTGTCACACTGGTATAGCCGGAAATAGTGGTTTCTCTGTGCTTTGGTGGCTGAGCATGTTGGTTTGAATAATGGAGAGGATTGAGGCTTCACCTGGTATTTCTAAGAAGGTTGAAACGTCCATGCCGGCTTTAACCCAAGAAGAAACCTTGAAGATTTAAGATGTCACTCCATGTGTCGTCAGGAAGAAAAACCCGGAATGTGTTCCACTCAGCGTTCTGGTAACAGAAAGAGATTTTATGGATAGGGGGTTCCTGTTTAATGAATGCTTGGAAGGAGATATCAAAAGCTACCAAAGAGTGGTCTGAGTTACCAAGAGAGAAGTACTGCGGTTCTCGACAAGAGCGAGGAGAGGAGATCATACTTATTATAAAACCCAGGTTGTGTGTGTGTGTGTGTGTGTGTGTGTGTGTGTGTGTGTGTGTGTGTGTGTGTGTGTGTGTGTGTACGTTTATATATTGGATCGGATTTCTTACATTTTTCAACCGATTTCAACAAAACTTCACAGGACTACGTAAAATTACCTTGCGGTTGTTCGGACAGCGCCAAAAATTGGAAAAACACAATTGTTTTAGCATGAAATCAATTTGAAAACACGATTAAGAGGCGTCGCTATAATGAAAGGGGGACAACTCATATCGAGTTATACTTATTATAAAACCCAGGTTGTTTGTGTGTGTGTCTGTGTTCGTTTATATATGGGATCGGATTTCCTACATTTTTCAACCGATTTCAACAAAACTTCCCTTTTTTTTGGCAGGTAGTGTTTCTTATTGTCTTGCACACTTTTTTCTTTATTTTTACATTCAGAATGCTTTAAAAATTCCATTTACAAGACAATTGTTTATAATAAAATTCTATTCAATCGGTAGACTCATAACGATTAAAAACAATGTTTTTGTTTGAGTTGGGTTTGACCAATTCGTAAAAAAAAAAAAAAAAGAAAATAATTAAGACATGCGTGTCCGTCAACCTTAAACAATAATCTTTGTCAATTTTATTTTTCAGTCTTTATGATGGTCGATACTTGATCTATCTCTTACTGTTACATCTCCGGGCAACGCCGGGCTCTACTGCTAATACGAAATATATCCATTAGAGTAGCCTGTTGGTCGGTTTGGCTAAGGAAACAAGTAGGGAAGTGCACGATTTGAGTGAAGGATTGGGCAATGGCTCGGGAAAGGTCAATATTGGTCGTTTATATTTAAGCCTATAAGCATTTACATTTTTTTTTAAGCATTACTCCCCGAGCAAGGCGGGAAGCCACTAGGACGCAACGGGTTACAGAAGGTTTGGAGCAAGATCAGATAGGAGTGATAGAGGAAAGGATGAG